TGTCGCATTTTTCTTCTTCCAGTGGTGTTGGTCGGGGAGGTGCTTCGCTGGTGTGGTGGTTTTGGGCAACTTCAAGGCGATTAGGGGTTGGGGTTGGGGCTGGGGCACTCTCTTTTGTTGGTGTCGTGGTCGTGGTGAAGGTTGGCTTGGTGTGGTTCTGGGGCGGTCTCGTCACCGTTAGGCAACCGAGTGATTTGGCAGTTTTGGGGTCGATGCATCTGGCTGCGGGATTAAAGGTCGACTCGATCCTGCCGGTTCGGTTAGGTGCTGCAGCTTTGGAAGGGCACTTTTTTTTTTCTCTTTTTTCTCTTTATTTTGCGTCGTTTGAGTCTGCGCTAGGTTGTGTTTTCGGTCTGGGTTTTTACCTGTGTGTTTGTTCTGTTTTTTGGTTTGGGCCGTTGCCTCAGTGTGAGAGGGAGCAACTTTATTCTCCTGTGGGGAGCAGCTTTCGTCTCTATTCTCCTGTGGGGAGCTTTTCATTTTTTAGTTTTGTGTTTTGTGGTATTGTTGCTTCGTGGGTCTTTTTCGATTTCTAGTGTTGCTAGTGTCGGGCTTCTAGGCGGTCGCAGACCTGTCCTCCAATTTTACTCAGCTTGGGGTCAGTTTATTCAACCACGGGTTGTATCTTTGCACGTTTGTGCCTTTTGTTTTTATAAAATCTCTATCGTTTCGTCAAAAAAAAAAAAAAACAAAGACATGAACACAGAATTTGTCGTGTTGCAAACTCCCAATCATATCCATCAAAATAGCATCATTGTGGATATTTATGTACCTAACCGACCCATTTTCTCCACGTATCTTGTAATAAATTTTGCCAACTTCAAGGTAACCAAGTTTCTCAACTAAATCTACTAAATCCAAATAATCAAACCTGTCAATATCAATACTATGACTGATGTGAATATCTCCTCAAAAATACTCCTCGCATTATCTAGCATAACAAACTTCCCACCTGATAGAGAAATATTGATAATTTTTCTCTAAAAAAAAACATAGAGGATGTACTATTTCTCTCAGACATCAGAGAACATTCATCAACATACTACACCTAAATGAATCCTAATCTATCGATTATAAATAAATAATACGTAATGCACTTATATTTAGGAAAACAAAAACAAAAAAAGAAGAGAAGAGATCATGTTTCATACCATTCTGCCACCAGTTCCAACAATTTCTAGGGTTCTTCAGAAATTTGTTTCAACAAAAGGAATCGATGGCTTTTGGATTTACAGAGAATTTTAGAATTACAGAGAATCTAGAGTTTTTTGAAGGATTTCGAATTTGCATAGAAAAAATTGGGACTGTCGATTTCCATTTGAAGGGTTTTTTGGTCGAAGTGAGTTTGGGTGTCGATTAGGGATTTCAAATTTATTCAAGAGTTGATTTTTTTTTTATTCTTTAATGTTTATTAGGTATTTCTTAAGATGAAACGACGTCGTCGAGCTGAGGTGTTTATTTTGCATGAGACACGCTGGACATGTTGACATTTGTCAGCCAGTGATCTGGTCAATGCTTGGTCTTGCAAAATACCAAAAGGTGGATATCGAAGTGCCAAGGTCTCAAAGTGGTGACAGAAATGTAAAAGCCGATAAAGTCGGTATGTCAGGTGCAATTTTGCCATGATCAATTTTTATAAATTGCTATAAGCTAATAGTTACCACAGTAAAATGGAAGTAAAATATATCTACAAAACAACTGAACAAGTTGTATTGCCTTATTTATGAAAATAGAAAAGGGTTAATTGCATTTAAAATCATAACCTTGTGTGTAATTGCAAATAAAACTCAACATTTTTAATTTGACAAAGAAATACCAAACCTTTAATAAGTATTGTGCCTCAAAACCAGTTTTCGGCCGTACCAGACCTTGAATAAGATGACCGGAAAAGTCATCGCCGGAAAAAGTCACTGGTTCCGGCGAAGGTGGACGTCACTAGATGCGGCTTTGCAAAAGGAGTTCAACAGTACCTTCGGATTCACATGGGTCAAAGCAAGTCACCGGAAATTTGCGAAATAACGCCGGAGAAAATTTGAAGATCTACGATTTTGACCGAAAAATTGGAAGCCTTATCGTCGGAATTTTTTCGTGAAACTCGGATATGTTGTCGGCACGGAGGAGAGCTACAAGATCATGTAAAAATTTTCAACATCCGACGAAGTTGGCCGACGGCGGCGGTTGGCGGCAGTCCGGCAGGGTGAAACATAATTTCAATACTTATTAAAGATTTGATATTTTTTTACCAAATTAAATAAGCTAAATTTTGAGGGAGAGCAGCAGTGTTAAAACTCTTGAGGGAGAGCTTTGCCACCCTTGTGGTCCTACCCGGCTCGATTCCGGATTAGTCGGTTCCCTTGTGGATCCGGAAACCGGAAGGTCCCTTGTACCAAAAAAAAAAAAAAAAAAAAAAGCTAAATTTTATTTGCAATTACGCAGAAGATTAGAATTTTAAATGTAATTAACCCAATAGAAAAAGGGGATTTTCTTAAAAGAAATCCCAGCTTTTAAAATTAACAGGAAACTAAAATTAAGTTTACAAAAGCAAAGCATATTCCTTGGAGCACGAAACCGTGCTAGTGCCCAAACAAGGGCGTGCCATTTATTGACGGAGATCTGTCGTCTTTGTTTTCAGTGGTACAGATCTTTGCACGAGAAGGGAGCTTAAGAATTTTACACATTTTTCGAAACCCCACATTTACATTTTTTCTTATAATAATACAATCACATACAGAGGAGCCTTGAAGGTGGTGAGATGTGGGAATCAATCTGCTTAACCGTGGCGGCCACCGCCGGAAATAACATCGGAAAAGTCCTCCAGAAAAAGGGCACCCTTATTCTCCCGCCTCTCTCTTTCAAGCTCAAGGTTTCTTGTGTTTTCCCCCTTTTCTTGGTTTTTTTTTTTTGTTTTCCTTTTTATGTATATTCTATTCAAGCTTCGATTTGCAGATTTCTTTTTATCTATGTGTAATTTCGGGTTCTGTTTATCTGTGCAAATGAACTCTATTTGTTATTATTATTTTTGTCCGGGTTGATTTGATTGCGTATGATTGCTTCTTGAGGCAGATTAGTTACTCAAGCCCATGTTAATTTGATCTTCCATAGCTGAATAAGGGATCTTTGCTTGTTCGTTGCTGATGGGTTTGTAACTAATATATCACTGTTGCATATATATATATATATATTTCATACAGTTGGGCTGATTAGAGGAGATCGTAATCTTTATTGGATTTGTAAGATGGGCTTTTTAGACATTAGGGAGCTCTTGGAGGTGATTTGTAAAGCTGGGCTTGAAATTCGAATAATGTAATTGTGAAGAGCCGTGATTTTTGTTCAGCTGCTGTTCATATGGATTGCTATCTTTTATGTATTCCTGCAAGGTTGTAATTTTCATAATGTAGTCCCAGCTACTTATGTTTTGAATTCAGTTAACTATTTACTTTCTAAGTACTGTTCATCTCAATAGTTTCTTATAATGTGTGCCAATCAATAACAAATTTCTGCGTAAATCAATTTGGTACATAGTGACTGGGTTTGCAAGGCATTAGGAAGCCCCTGTAGGTGAATTGTAAAGATGGAGTTTTTAGACATTAGGGAGCAACCTGTAGGTGAATTGTGAAGCTGAGCTTGGAATTCGAATAGTCTAAATATGAAGGTCCATGATTTTTGTTCAATCGCTGTTCATATGGATTGCAGTTTTTTGTTTACTCTTGCAAGGGTCGTAATTTTCACAATGTAGTCAGAGCTACTTATGTTTCTAATTTAGTTGAGTATTTACTTCCCAAATAGTCTTCATTTCAATAGTTTCTTATATTGTGTGTCAATGGACAACAATTTCTGGGCAAATCAAGTTGGTGCACACTGCACGCACATTGACAGGGTTTGCAAGGCATGTCTTCTTCTAAAATAACCTATCTAATCCAAGTTTTTCGTTTTTCGTTTTTCTTCTTTAAATATTTTTATAACACTGGAGTAAATTTATGTAGCTGGTTTAGGCTCTTTCTGGGGTACTATGGAGTTAAATAGTTTTATCTCCACTATGGGAAGAATATCCCTCGAGTTTAAATAACTCACAATAAATAAAACAGAGATAATCCCTTAGAGCATCTCCAATGCTCTAATGTTGTTACAGAATTTTTTTTGACAAATGTCAAAAAATTAAATAGATTGTGAACCATGTAGGACAAATGTTAAGTTCACAACTATTAAATTAAAAAATCATCTCCAATGCACAATGTTGCCTAATTACATTATTATCTACTTGCCAAATAACAAAATTTTAATATGAATTAATAAAATTAATTAAATAATTAAATAGTTTAAAAATGGTAATAATAATTCTTTCTTCTTCTCATTGGCTAACTAGAGTGTGGAGTAGAATGTGGATGAACCACATTCTTCTCTACATTGTAGACATTAATTATGTCCACATCACTACAACATTGGTGCTCACATTGCACATTGGAGAATGAAAAATTGTGATATTAATAAATGTGTTGATGTGGAATATAATTTATCACTACAACATTGAGCATTGGAGATGCTCTTATGTTTCTTCAATTTAGTTGTAATTAATGCCAGTTAAGAGATGACATTAGCAAATTTCACCTTATACTTTCCTTCGCTGTTGCTCTAACATAGTATAATAAGGAAGATGAACGATTTACAGACACTCACACATGTATGTTTGTTTGTTGCATGCTATTCAAATTAAGGTTGGCTGAATTGTTACAACAAATAATTGGTATCTTCAGGTAATAAGAGCATATGCTTCCAACAGAGCTTGGATTACTGGCTTCTTGATGGATATATTTGGAGCTATCTTGATGCTGCTAGCACTTTCTCATGCTCCTGTAAATTCCATCAATATCCACTCTTAATTTTAATTTGATAGCTACTGATATGCTGCCTCGGGTCATGGTAACAGCTTAATCCCGAGATGTTTAACCTTTTTTTTTTTTTTTGTATAGGTCTCAGTCATTCAACCTGTTTCCGGTTGCGGGCTTGCTATCCTTTCGGTTTTTTCACATTTTTATCTGAAGGAAATCATGAATCCTATTGATTGGATGGGAATAATTTTTGCTGGTATTGGCACTATAGGTAATGTAAACTATTGGATTTCTTGAAGTGCACTTTATTTTTCTTGCCTGTATGACTTTTAGAGTTTCTTGTTAATGAGATCAACCTATTTCTAGGGAGTGTGTGCAAATAGCGGGAAAGGTGAATTCAGTTTACATAGGAAGAAATACACTCATTATAGGAATTATTATTGTTATTATTATTTCCTTCATTATTATTATTATTATTATTTATTATTATTATTATAATTATATTATATTTAATAGGTGTTGGTGCTGGAGGGGAAGAACAGAAGTCTTCATCTATTTCAATATACCATCTACCGTGGCTAGCATTTGTTGTTGCTGTCTTGTTTGTAGGTATCTTATATCTACAGTATTTAATTGTAGAGATGGGAATGTTCTAACAATCTAATTATGAAATTTTGAAGTTTGTGCGATATAAAATTACTGGAGCAGATGCAATATTTCCAACTGACTAAACAAAATTATGAACCACTGATCGATCATTTAATTTTTCCAATACGATTTGGTTGATTATTATCACATTTGCTTGAGAGGCTCATTGCTAATGTGGAACATGCAACCTTTTGTGTCTCTGATTTAGATAGTTATATTACAGTTCCATATCTAAATCGACCTTTCTTTCCAAGGGGCAGGGCAAACAGATAGTTCATGATTTATTTATCTATTTTTTGTTAGCATAGTCTTCTAGTAATTCTTTGTCTTGTCATGTCTGCTAAATTCTTATTATAGGTGCTTCTTAATGGATGGCTTCGTGTGTACAGACGTCAAAGACGAGAACAGGAGTTGGTATGCCAAAATTTTCTAAAATCGCACCATTGAATTTATTTATTTTGCAAGTATTGTGAACTCAATGTCGATTATTGTGCACTTTTCTACTTGAAGATGCAATATGAGGTTGTTGAAGAAATCATTTATGGCTTGGAATCTGGCATCTTATTCGGGTACTGTCATGTCTCGAGCTTTAATATAACTGTTTTCGTACTTTTCTTCTTCTTCTTTTTTTTTTTCTTTAATAATTCCACTCATAATTTTTGAAGAATGTAATTTCAGGATTGCATCTGTAATTTCAAAGATGGGGTTCGTATTCTTGGAGCAGGGCTTTTCCAAGCTATTACTCCCCATTTGCATCTCCATTAGCATTTGCTGCAGTGGTTCTGGATTCGTTTATCAGGTAGATAATTGTTGTTTGATTTTATAATTTTACGACATTTATTGACAAGTCAGTATTATGGTACTGCTATTCTTAAATATGTCATGCTAACGAGTAATTAATATAACCATTGATCGATGTTTTTTTCCCAAAATAGACTCGTGGATTGAAGCACGGAAGGGCAATTGTAGTGTCTACTTGTGCAGCCGTTGCTTCAATTGTAACAGGCGTGCTTGCTGGCATGCTTGCTTTGGGCGAACGTTTGCCTTCAGCTCCTGTGGCTCGTCTAATGCTTCTTCTTGGATGGTACTATTATTCTTTCTTTTCAACATTTTATTTATTAATTTTTTTTTGGGTTGAAGTTAATAATATGTAGATGTGTTTTCGTGTAGGTTATTCATCATTGTTGGTGTGATTTTGCTTGTGACCTCAACACGTCTGGTTAGATACCTCCCGAGGCCATGGAGACGATTTGTGAGAAGTGGAGTGGAGAGGAGGCAGCCGGGTTCCATCCGAACGAGGGAAACTAACCCAAGCGCTGTTATCCAAACGAGCACGCTGCACCATTTACTGTCATCCCCTTCTAAATCGAAATCTTGATTCCTTTTCTTTCTTTTTTTTTTGGTTATTCTTTACTAGAAAAGAATGGAAATTTACTAGCTACATAGAAATGCTGTTCGACTCTCAGGAACGCATAATTTCGGTCTCGGTTTGGAGAAATTCGTCGAGAGTGTACAGTTTTTATCTCTGTGTACATTTACTTACAGGGACACAGCTCAGTTCAGCTCAGCTCAATTGTTTTAAAGATTGTTTAGAAATTCACATCTTTCTTGAGGGACCCCAGTGTTATTCAGTACAAATGAGAAGACTTGAAGTTGAAACCATAAAGTATAGGTAGGTACCTAACATTCTTGAATATTCCTATGACCAGAAAAATGTGTGGTTTTGATGTTTTGTCTGCCCATAAATAATAAATTAAAAATAAAAAAAACTTTTGCAACATACAATCAATAGTTTGACTTGTCAATAAGATGTAAGATTAGTGCACTGATTACAATTCATTCATATATTTTAAACTATAGCCAAATGACAATTAATAAAGCATCATTATGTTTGGTACATACTAATAAAACATACTCAATAATAATAATAATAATATTAATAATATTAATAAGAATATTTATTCATTTATTTCTTTCTTTATCTCTGCTTTCATGAGAGGCCACTTGCAGGCTGCAGTTGCTGATGGTAGGGAATATATTGCTGCAAATTCATGTAAAAAAATAATATTGAGCACTGAATTACTTTGATCTATGTTTTTTTTTTTAAATTGTTTTCATGAAAATGGTACCTCCATTTTTGTTAGAAGCTCTTTGGCTGTAGAAGCCGAAACAACTATGCCACGAGCAGCTGGCTTAACGAAACCTTCATCGACAAATTTATCGAACAACTTAAGCAAAGAGTTATAGTAGCCATCAACATTGAGCAAACCAACCTGTCCCAAGAACAACTTTCGAAATCACGAGAGAGAGAAAAAAAAAAGTGTCGTTAGTACGAAACCGAGCTGCATGATCAGACGCTTAACCGGTTTATTATGGATTTTAAGTTGTGCCCATGTTATCATCTCCAATAACTCCTCCATTGTGCCATATCCTCCTACATATCCGAAAAAAAAAAAAAATCAAACTTAAATAAGAAAAGGAACAAAGTATGTGCAAGATTTAGTCGAAATTTTGTTTCGAAATTTTATTTTATATTTACCCGGAAGAGCAATAAACGCCTCTGCTATCTTAGCCATCTCGGCTTTACGCTCATGCATGTCGGCCACGATTTTCACGTCCCCAACGCCTTCTCCCGATATCTATCGACATAAATTTTATAAAAATTAAACTTTATACAAAATTTTCCTCAGAACATTATATATTGAACTTTATACAATTTTTTCTTAGTCATTTGAGATACCATGATTCCCTTTCATCTCCACAAATGTTGGAGTATCAAGGCTATAATCGTGATATCGAAAAAGTGTCGTTTAAAGATCATGATCGAAAAAAAAAAGCAATCGAGCATACCTCCACAGGAACCAGAGCTTGTGGAATCACTCTGCATGTTGAAAGCAAATTACATTCAAATTTTCAATGCTAGATTAACATGACATGATCAGTACTTTTGACATCAAGAAATAATTTTATTCGAAAAAATTATTGTTCTTCTTACCCAAGAACATGGCAGCCACCATCATAAACTCTCTGTGAAATTAATCCCATAAGGCCAACACTCCCACCTCCATACACCAAATTTATCTTCCTTCTCACCTGTATATAAATCACAATCCAAACACAAAAATAATTCAACAAAACCGAAATAATAAACGAAATTTTACGATAAACAAAAGATCCCGATTATCGATCAACCAAGATATTAAAAATGCAATCTTTGGCTGAGTTTTTTTTTCCACAAGAAGGAGAGTAAAATCAAGAAAACCAGTTCATTTCCCAAGTCAATAGCAGCATCACTGAAGATTTGCCTGTGCCCTGAATGACTCCCACAGAACACACAGATTTTCTTGAATTTGCTTATGCCTTTTGAGTTGCCTTCCATTAATTTAGGACTCAAGTTTCTTCACACTGATTTTCTTGAACTTGCTTTTGGGGTTTTGTTTTTATTCATGTAAGTACTAGGAAGTGCATGTAAGAAGGGAAAGATAATCAAACTTTATTAATTTTGTGTTGAATGCTACATGTACCAATAAACTAATTTTTTTTTTTTGTAGCCAATCACGGTATCCAGAACTATGCACCGACTAATTCGTTGGTCGACCCGGGTCACACACCTAGCAGTGGTGGGTGAGCCTCCCAACAAGAGTTTGTTGCATTCACAAAGACTCGAACCCGAGACATTGCTTAAGCGGCATCAAGCTGCTTACCACTTGAGCCAATTCCTGTTGGTACCAATAAACTATTTTTAAAAGCCAAAAAAAGCTAAAGATGAAAGAGACTAATGAAGATAAATAAACAGAGTTAAGTGTATTGGTTTAATGAATTAAAGCAGAAAGAAAAAAGTGAAAGAAAAAAATAATAACTTAAATATATAAATTAAGGTGCAAACCAAAAAAGATTGATTATAAAAGATTTTATCTGAGTCAGAGCACCTTGACTGTATTAATTGGCACATGTTGAACAAGAAAATTGTTCTCCAATATTCACAAGATGATCACATTTCACCAAATAAACAATATGGATATAAGTAATTATTTATGAAATAGTAAAAAATGTAGTTTGGCAAGTCTAACTATCAAGTATCTATATTTTTTCAAAATGATGTATATCTCAATTTGAAATGTCATACTCTAACTATAAGTTCTGAAGATTGCAGTAAATCGACGAACCTTCTTAACTCCTAAGATTCAGACAATCGTAAGAATAATTAAGGGAAGTTTGATTTAAATTACTTAGAAGTATTTTTTAATTAGAGTTGATTATTGATAATTCGTATTTGTTATGGCAGGACTTTGGGAATAAACTCGAGATTCACCTTCCATAATCATGAAGGTGAGATTGTGGTTTTTAGGAGGACGAGACACATGTTGAGGACGATCTTTTTTTGGGATTTTGGTTTTCATTTCATTTTATTTTCTGAGCGAAGTGATATAATATGTATGTTTTATTTGAGAAAAATTGAACAGAGTGCTCGGAGGTTCATTCTGATATAGTTAGAGGGATTCGAACTAGAAAAGCCACAAGAGACTTATAGTCGGATAAGTAATAGTGCGAATCGTTGTTCAAGTAGAGTATAGAGAGAGTCTATGTTGTAAACCCTTGAAGAGTGTTGGTGATGTTTGCATTAATAAAAGAGATCCGAAGAGAGAGTGAGACGCTCTCCTGAAGGTTCAATTTTAAGTGAAACTGCTTCCGCATTTGTTTGAATCTTCCTTATTTCTGTTTTGATTAAATTGTTCACAACTCTAGATACTTGGCGTACGAGTATCAAATTTCACTAACAATAATATATTAAAAAAAAATCATAGCACAAATATACAATTTTTGAAGAAAAAAAAAGTCTAAACGATCGACCGTCTAATGGTTAGATTGACTCAAACAATAGTTTGTCTTTATCAAAACAGAATTATGGAATTATCTAATTTTTTGAAATAAATAAATATTTTTTATTAAAAGAAAAGAACACATTGTTCATGTAAAATTAGTAGGCTTTGTTATTGGGCCTAAAGCAATCTCCAACCGAAAAAACCTATTTTGTAGTAATTGTCATATTAAAAATAAATTATCTCGAAAAACTCATTTTCAAACTTAAAGGAAGTTTTCTTAGAATATTTTCTTTTCATCAAATTTTACAACACTTCAATGCTACTCACATATGTTACAACTTTGCAAATTAAACTTCATTATTATTTTAATTTTGATTCGTAATTTATGTAGTAAAATTATAATGTTAAGATTCACAAAATGATATGCAATTTAATAATAAAATTATTTTATGATATGTACAATAAAAATTTCTACAAGAACACATTATTCGCGTAAAATTTTCATTACTTTATTTTAAATACTATTTTAATGTAAACTCAAAATTCCGCTAACAACTGATCATACAACATTTTCCAAAATTAACACTGGTTAATTAACAAAAATGAAAAAACTCGTTTGCACCGAATATATTTGTATTCAACATTTTTCAAAATTAACACTGGTTAACGAAAAAAAGAAAAAACTCGTTTTGAGCGAATATATTTGTATTCAAGCACGACCCTTGAACTCAAT